TAAAGTGGCGATTTAGAAATATCTTGATTTTAAGGTGCTTTCACTTATTTCAATGCTGTTTTGTCATTTTAAATAATGTGGAAGTGGCCCCGTGGTTGCGAACCACTGCATTAAGTTTGCAGCATAAATGTGCAGTAAGCACAAGCTGCTGATTACATAGAGGCAGCATAAATGTATGTACACTGATTCATAATCTAGGGAAAAATGCATAAATGAAGAAATTACTTCAAAACAGATGTCGAGCTTTAAATCTCAAGTACTAACCTACTGGAGTACATCATACTTACACTGATTTAATTCAATCAGTGGACAGGACAGGACAGAGAGGGAAGGGCAGAGGAGAGGAGAGGAGACCCAGAGAGAGGAGGTGGCTGGCTTCTCTCTGGTGCTTCTCTTGGAGGCTTCATCAGGCCGTTTCAATGGTCTCTTCACCCAAGCTCTGCCATGGGCACCCTTACTCCTCAGCTCCACAGGGATTCTGCTCCAACATCCATCTGTGCTCACATAAACAATCACTGCCCTCACAACGCCCTCACCCAGCTAATACACATATAATCAAGATGATTAAGCAATGCCAATGATTAAAAAGTAATTACTTGAAACTGTAAATGAGCAGAAACAAAACCTTAGCCCAGAGCTCCTGCATGGGGATGTAACTGGCTCCCAAGATGTGAGTTTATATATTTATATATAGAGAGCATAATTTTAGTCCCCAAATCCCTAAATTGTCAGGTGTGGCTCCAGCTGTCAGTCACGCATATGATTCCTTAAATAATCAGGTCGTCAATCAGGTAGTCCTTAGGGAAGGCATCCCAGATCCTTTAGATCAGAGATTGATGAGATTTCTACCTGCGAGTAACTGCAATTAACTGGAGTGTCTGCTTTAAAGGTCCTAATGAGTCCCCATTAAATTGATTTATAGAATCATTATCATCTTGCTATGAAAAGTAAAAATGGTGGCATAGATAATACATAAGTCACATTTTCAAAAGTACCTACTGCTTTCACATCAAGGGGAGCAGATAGAATAAAAGCAATCCCTCAACCTTTGTGAGTTTAGAAGCCAGTCAAGTACAGCAGGACACAAAGAGCTTGTTTGGCTGATGAAAAACCAGACGGTATTCAGAAACAAAGAATAAAGGTACTTCTGATGGGAAAAAAACATCACATCTCCAGCTTATCTAACTAGCTATATTGCTAATTTGACATCAATGGACTTTATATAAAGAACCATCAAAACAGCTCTAGCTCATCTTTAATGCAGAGAAAGGATATTTGAAATAAATGTCTATTCAGCCAATAACTTTACATGCCAAACAAGCTGCACTCCACATGGGAGACGTGACACAATTGATTTCAATAAAATCTAACATTAGGACATCGTGAAGCATGTTAAAAATGCATAGCACAAATATTTGTCTATAATAAAATAATATTTATTAAATGAATTATATTTAATTAATTTTTTTAAGTTCACCAACTGAAAACCTGTCTGTTTTTGAAAATGACTTCTGTGCGAGTTGTTCTTTACACATCTCATTGCTACTGACAATGGACAATGGGCATTTTTGCATGTGAAATGTCACAGAAATTTCATCATTATGACTGCACCTTAATGCTGCCTTAGAATGTGACATCACCTTCATAATGGCAGTGTCTATGATGCCTCGAAATGTTGCATACATAGAAGGGTTAACCGCATGTCAAATGTTCTGACAGCTGATTGTAATATTTGAAGGATGGACGCTACAGGATTTCAATATCAGGCAGGAACCTACAGCTGTCACTCAAGTGTTCCCATACTGCACACAGATCAATCAAGAAACCCTCTATTTTACTCCACAACAGAATAAGACAGCATCCAGACTGCTTTGCTGAACTCAAGCTGGCTGGAATCTAGACAAGAGGACCCCCCGCTAGCTGCATGTGAAAGTAGCTTCAGCACTGTTTTCTAATTAACATCAGTCTTTAGCACACCAGGTGGAAAGCCCCCTATTTGACAGACTAATTAATCTGGAAACCTCAAGTGCCCACAGACTTCAGCGTACCTCCAACAATTAATCCTGTCAATAAAATGTCTCAACTGTACTGGACTATGGGGAAATAAGACTGGGATTCAATATAATTAATGCTAAGTTTAGAAACAGAACATTTCCACTTGAAGAAAAGATTGAGAAGATATTAGGCTAAGCGATATAGTTATAGATATAATGTCAATATCCGTCATTCTTTTGATGACTTTGTTTAAATGCTTCAAATAATTTCAAATGCGTTTCTTTTGAATGATCTATTAACAAAGGATTCCTGATAAAAATGTCATGGTTTCAACAAAACATTAAGCAGCAAAACTGTTTTCAACACTGATAATAACAAGAAATTTCTTGAGCACCAAATCAGCCTAACAGAATGATTTCTGAAGGATCATAAGGCACAATATGTAAGATTTTTTTATTAAAATATCCAAAAACCACTAGAACAGTGTTATATACTTTGCTGACTTGTATACTTACATTATCCCAAATGTTTCGAAGATTGTTTAAATCCAGAGAAAAAGCTATTTTAACTAGTGACACGGACCGTGTCCATGGTGTCATTGTGTCGCCTGCCAATGATGTCGTAACCCCTCCATTTCCGGTTTTGTTTTGTAGAAAACATGGAAACACCATAGACGCTTTAATATGTTGTGCGTTTTATTAGACCGTTGACGACCGCAAAGAGTAGCATTATAACAGAACTTTCAAATGTATCTAGTATGATAAAACAGCGCTGCTTTTTTTCCCCCACATACGCACGACCGGAAGGAGCGGAAGCATTCGACTGTGGCATAATAAAAGCTCCGCTGCTTTCGAGCCGTGTGTCACCGTCAGATTGCTTCAGCTGTGGAGATGAAGACGACAACTCCCATGATTCCACACTCAGTCACAGCATCATCAAACTACGCCTTTGTCTATTTGTTTATTTTAAATACGCGCCCTCTAGCGGTGAAAATTACATATTGTGCCTTTAAGTAGTCCAAATTCAGATTATACCGGAATAACGTTTATTCAAGAAGCAATATTCAGAGTTTTGAGGATTAACAAAATTATTCTCATTTCATTCAGACCTGAACCTGCATGTAGAATTAATATTCAATTTTTCTGTTTTATGGGTGCATTTCTTTCAAGTCGTAGTATTAATCACTGAGAGAAGTCTTAAGTGAAGCATTTACGCATGATGAGCAGTTTTACTAAAGGGACTGCCTAAAGCTAACATCACTTCCATTTTGCAGGAAGAAGCATTGTGGCACAGGACACTTAAAAACTAAGCTGATAGGGGCTTGGTGGGGTCAATGCCTGCCTCTCACATAGCTCATTTATCGCTCTGTTGCATCAGCTTAAGTCTCCATCCCCCTGAGTGCCGTCCAAAATACCAATCATATTTCACACAAGAGGAAAACAAAAATGTGAGAAAAGGCCACCTGAATAATTGAGGCGAAGGGTGAATTATCTTGAGCAATACTAGCATGCACAGTCTGGGGTAAAACGCCATTTTCCATGAACGGTGCCAAAAGTATGTGGAACACAGGACAACAAACAGTTTCGGGAACTCAATATATAGGAATGTCGTGTTTTTTATGGAAATTGACATCTGGTTGTGTGTTAGGGGGTTTTATATGGTGGATTTACATCACTGGTATCACTCAATATGGAAAAGTAAATCGATACGTAATTGCTGTGTAATTGCATATGCCACAGGCAATAAATCACATGAGGGAGATATATTTTGTACGTAAATTTGATTTGGACGTTTCAGCTACGACATGAGCAAACCCTGCAGAAATGTTCACTATCCTCCTTCCATGTTACACTGAACAAATGCTTGCAGAGCTTTCAGAAACTAAATATAACAAATGAACAACATGGAACATTGAGCAGAATTCATCTCAGCAGCATTGGCGTTTCACATATGTATGGACCTTTGCACAAAGAACATGAGGTATTAATAAATACGGCTACATTATGTAAAACTAAGCCTGAAGGCAACTTCAGAAAGCTCCAAGCAGCGAGAAAGTGAAGAATCCTGATGTTTAGTTGGCTAATGACTCATGCTAGCTAACTCTTACTATTATAAGAACAGACCAGATAAGAACAAAGAGTAAGAAAAATCAATGGAGACAGCTGAGACATGATGCTGCTTAATGAAGCCTGACGTCTGTTTCCTCTGTTTTCATGGCGAAATGAAAAATTACAGATTTGTTTGGCAAGCAGCTGGTTGAACAATTTCTGTGACATGGGTGGTTAATGTAAAACATAATGAGATGTTTTATAAAATGCCATTTCAGATTACAGCCTCCTTTGTTCTTGAGGATATGAGCTGGAGATGTGCATTTGGGTCATTTTGACTGCTCGAGTATACTTAGGGTGAGGTTGATGGGTCTATGTTCACATGTATCAGACTGATGTCTTCAGCCACTGCTTCATGTCTCTCACCATGTACAATGTCTTTTTAAGTGTGTCAAGTTAAAAATACTTTCAAAAACTTGTCACAACATCATATCATTTATCCATTTTTGAACACACGAGTGTTGAGTTCAACCCAAATGTCCCACCACAAATAAAATAAATAAATACTTAGTTCACCCAAAAATTAAAAACATCAACTCACTCTCATGTTGTTTCAAACAACATCCAAAGAAGACTTTTTGAAGAATGTTGGTAAACAATCAGTTCTGTGACCAAAAAGTATTATCTTTTTTGTTCCACAGAAGAAGAAGAAAATCATACAGGTTTGGAACGACATGAGGGAGAATAAATGATGACTGATTTTTCATTTTGAACTAGCCCATTAGACCCATTCCATCAGTCTCAGGTACACTCAACTGTCCATGTAAATGTTTTTACCGCTGCAGAACATTTGTAGCATCTTCATGTACCATATACATAAACCGTGAATTTTAATATCTCAATGGGGAAGTACGATTGATGAGAGAAAGCATAAAATTTCCATTTATGAGCTCTTACCCTGCGTCTGGTCGATGTGGCCCAGGGTTTCTATCTGTTCAACGAGATCATTAGAGTTCCACTGACTCATGCCCAAAAGCATGGCCGTCTTCCCCTCCAGTACCTCTGAAAGACATCACACACAAACACACATTCAATGAGAGCAGTATATGATGAGGACGAGACAGTCAATAATTTAGCAGGATAATGCTATGCTCGTTTTAGCTCCAAAATAAATCACATGGAATGCAGCAGTACATCAAAGACTATTAAGATTCATCGAATTATCTTTAAATACAGCTAGAGCCATAAAGTGATGTCCGACTAATGAGCACAGAGTGAGCGACATTGTACTCTGCCGGTCCTTGTGAGACAGCCCCTGAGTGCTTGATGGAGGACACGGCTGTGTGGTTCACAGCGTGTGACAACGAACTGCAAGCCCAATGCCGTGTCGGATCTCGCTGGGCTGATATTTCAGTATAGAAGAGAGGTTGTGACAGGGCTCCGTCAGGCCTGCTCATCAGCATCACCCACTCGAGCCGATAGGCCGCTGTTTGTCGCATGCCATTTACTAGACTGTCAGTTGAATTTTTTTTGAGTTGGCTCAAACAAGGGTAGACAAACATACACACACACGCTCACAGAAACAATGCGAGGGAAGCTCGGAGTTGAGAGAGGAAGGGTTTTAAATCATAATCCAAATACTGGCAGTTACTGAGTCATGTCGAATGGAACAGCGCTTAGAGAAAGCAGGAAGAACACAGATCTTCTGAAGTGTGAAATGTGCTTAGCACAAAGAAGAGCAATGACAGCAGCCCGGCTCCTGAAGGACAGACAACCACCTATTTCAGTAAATAAAACACACAAACTGCTGACGCACAAGGGTCTGCCAGCGAGGCTCACTGCGAAAGGAAGACAGCAAAAAGTTAAAAGGAGAAAAAGAACAATGTAAAAATGTGGGAACATGCTCTCAGAAAGAACTGCGTGGATGAAAGGAAACTAAGATTTAATTTGAATGTATTCAGTGTAATCTGCACCATTATGAAAATTTTTTGTAAATTGAAAAAAAAAGTAATGTAAATTGAATTATTGAATACTAGTTGCTATGAAAGTTAGGTATGTGCAAAACGATATATTTTTATGATTTTTATGAAGAGACCTAACAAACATTTTTAGGACTGTCAAAGCAACATATTAAAATCACTTTAATTAGACTTTGTTTATCTTCAGATTTATATATCTAACATTAAAACAGGGTAGAAAAGGATAAAGATAAACAGTTAAAATAATAAAAACATTTATATTTATAAGGAAATATAATAATTAAATTACATTTAATATACAATTACAAAAAAAATATTACAATTAAAAAATATAAAAATAGCTTTTTAATTACTTGCTTGAGCTTCAGTACAGTAAGAATATAAAAGTCAAAACACACAGTATTAACTTGAAACATCAACTTAACACACAATGCAATTCATGATGCGAAACATGGTGAAAAATGACAACCAGATCTGAAGTTGTGCACAGATCAACAATTTAAAAATATCACAGAACAATGTGCAGCACTTCAATAAAATAACTGACAGAGATATTTAGCAAATAAAGTTTTATTATACAAAACTATCATAGACCTAAAAAAAATGCATAACAACTGGAATGCAGATTACAGCAGGAGATCTGAAGTCTGACCATAATTGTCCTGAAATGTATTGCTGAAGGTGGAGTGTTTGTTAAACAAGCTGCGCTTGATGCCTGTAGCAGCAGTGCTTTAAAAAGAATGAATTTAGGGAATGTAGAAACAACTTCTCAGAGAATTAATTCTGCAGACAGTCTAACAGTGCAAAACACTGCCAGCAAGCTAAATCACGCTCTGAGAAGTTGTCTCTTTATTTACCCCTTTAAAAGCACATTTATAAAATATTTAAAAAGTTTCTACATAAATTAGTTGACCACACACTATACAAACATCCTAAGCTATCCTTAATGAAGGTGTATCAAAAAATCCCTGAGTAACTCAAAATACTTTCACAAAAAAAGAGCATGAAGCAGTGATTGAAAGGAGTAAAAGAAGAAAGACAAGCAAAGTGCATAAAGGTGGGGAAACATTTTTAATGGAGGTTATTAAAAGAGATTTAAAAAAAAGACTTTAAAAGGAATCTGAAACTAAATTTCAAGAATCCTAGAAAGACCAGGTAATGAGTTCATGGAGCTTATTCATTAACATTCTTCAACTCTTCTTTTACTCTTAAATACAGACAAAGACAGGAGTCAGAGGACATGTCCGTGTGGGCTGAATGATGGTCAAATACTGGTGGATGTCAGCTGTTCCTATTTCCAGTTCTCATACAAATATCTTCCGTATATGAACCAAATTTGCAACACTATCCTTAATGAAGGTGTATCAAAAAATCCCTGAGTAACTCAAAATACTTTCACAAAAAAAGAGCATGAAGCAGTGATTGAAAGGAGTAAAAGAAGAAAGACAAGCAAAGTGCATAAAGGTGGGGAAACATTTTTAATGGTTATTAAAAGAGATTTAAAAAAAAGACTTTAAAAGGAATCTGAAACTAAATTTCAAGAATCCTAGAAAGACCAGGTAATGAGTTCATGGAGCTTATTCATTAACATTCTTCAACTCTTCTTTTACTCTTAAATACAGACAAAGACAGGAGTCAGAGGACATGTCCGTGTGGGCTGAATGATGGTCAAATACTGGTGGATGTCAGCTGTTCCTATTTCCAGTTCTCATACAAATATCTTCCGTATATGAACCAAATTTGCAACACATGGCTGCAGGGAGTATATTTTCCTTGTAAATTACATTTGTGTGTACTTTCAAAGCAAGATCATGTTGTTTCAAACCCATGTGTATGGGACTACATCTCTGACACAATTCTGCGCGAGAAAGATCATATTTTGAGCGCGCAAAAGTGCGTTTTGCACGCGCGCGAACTGAGTTTTGTGGAGAAAATGTTTGTCTCGCAAAGAAGAAAGTATTTTGAGCGCACGAAAATCAATTTGGTATTTAAAATACGTTTTTGGATTTGTGCAGACCTTCTCTTTTGCACATGCAACGTTTCACTAGCTTGCTCAACTCGCCCTCAGTGCTCTCTAAATGCAGACGGCTCGCTTGCTCAACACAACCCAGCGTTACAATATGCCATAATTTCAGCCAATCAGAGACGAGGCAAAAAAAATCTATTTTGCATTTAAAACAAGTTTTTGGATGTGTTGTGTTGAGCAAGCAAGCCGCTGGTATTTAGAGAGCATTGAGGGTGGGCATCAAGGGAGCAAGCTAGCGAAACGTTGCACGCGCAAAAGAGAAGGTCTGCACACATCCAAAAACTTATTTTAAATGCAAAATTGATTTTAGTGCGCTCAAAATGTTTTTTTCTTTGCGAAACAAACATTTTCTCCACAGAACTCAGATCGCGCACATGCAAAATGCACTTTTTTGCACTCAAAATATGATCTTTCGAGTGCAGAATTGTGGCAGAAATCTAACCCTATACATGTGACTTTCCTTTTTCAGTGGAACGCAACATGAAACGTTAGGCAAATGGACAGCCTCAGTCCCCATTTCACTTTCACTGTATATGGAAATAAAATGCAAACCTATAGCCAGCTTCGTTAAAAGTTAAAAGTAGGAAAACAAGCAGCCTTTACTATGCACAGACTTCATTTTTCACATATTTTGTCCGACTACTACTTTTTTCCGTGGCCAGAATATGACCGTAAATGCATGTGGCTGTCAAGAGGCAAAGAACATAAAACAGCGTTGTCTGTCTGACACAGTTTCAGTAAAACAGGCTTTTCCTGGAAAATCTTCCAAATGAAGGCCCATAATTGGTTATGAAAAGCACACGTCTTGATCTTCTTCCCAACACTGAGGTTTAAAACTCTGACACAAATTCTAAGAAGAAACGGCTTTTCCTTATGTGATTGTCTGTGACAGTGATTTGTAATGAGAATAAAAACTTTAACTTGGACATGTGTCTATATTTGCCACAATATAACACTTAATAAACAATTATATATGCAATTAAATTACCTAAATTTAAATAAAAAACAAGCTGTCAACTCTGAGATGGCTAATATTCATAAAATCATAAGTCCTGATGCTAAGATGATATTTTCACTTAACAGGGTCTTTATATTAAAATGTAAAGTAACACGATTTTAAATATGCTTTATAATATGCTAGAAGTTATAAATAGCCGATTTCTTAGTTGATTTGTCAGTGCAGATAATTCTTGTGTACAAAGGGCCCAGGGCTACCCGACTACAGAGAACAATCAATGCAACAGGAAAACACTTCAGCTCAAAAAGCAAAGCCTGTGTGGGTAATGCTAATCAATTAGCATTAAGAGAGTCACAATGAATGGCTGCGAATGCATACAGCAATCTGTCTCCAGCTGAAATTTACACAGTTTTAAATGAGGGTCTGATCTTATTCCAGGCTATACAAATGGGGTCTGTTTAAGAACACTGACAAATCTCATTACTCAAATGCACACGCTCCAATAATGGACCGGAATTAACCTCCTTAGACATTTGCCAACATGTCAGTTAAAAATTATTCTGAACGCACACATTCATAATCAAAACAGCTTTGTCCTTTAAGACCCCATGACAACACTTAACCAGCACAGTGTTGAAGTACTTACTATTAAAAGTTGGTTGGGACATTGATGGCAAAAAATTTTCAGCAGCCGTTTGCATTTTCAAATGCTTGTTAGAAGCAACTAAAACTCTTTTGAGTTTGTGTTGAGCAGCATTTACTGCTGACCGATCTGTTAACACTGTTATCATGAGCAGCTCACATTAAAAAAAGATCATAGCGCTTTATGCTGAAACGCACAGCGCATCACATTTATTCAATTGCAATGCAGTCTCTGCAATTTGATAATCATTCTAAACCAAATTGCATTCTCAGGCATTGTTAAAATTACTTTTTTTAAATGACCGGCCAACTGGCAAGTAACATTTACTCACCAACGCTGATTTTTACTTGCATTTGGTGCTTAGGACCTGGTCACACCTCTTAAGTTGCATCCTACAGAGAGACACTCCAGGATGTGACTTGGAGGAGATCAACCCAGCGGATATGAGAGGATATG